TTTTATTTTTAAAAGAATTGTTTAATATTTTGTAACTATTTTTGATTGCTTTACTAATTTTTTCAATTATATTCAATCCATATTAAAATATTTAAACTAAATATTTGTTGTTCACAAATCGAATATTGCACTGATTTAATAATGTACAATTTTATCTAGAGATTTTTGATTATATATGTAAAACAAAACAATTATAATCATTATGTGAAAGTGTCTGCCTTCTGTAATTTATTGATAAGGAAAGTAAAGTTTATGTAAAAATTTAAAACAAATTGTGTAGCAACTGAGTGTTTGCCTGTTGGAAAACTATTTAAATTGTTGTTTATAAAGTCGACAGGTGAAGCAAAAGACGTTTCGATTAATCATAAATATTAGATCATCACAGTATTATTGGTTATTATTATTGCTCATTATTTCACTTGATAATGCATGCCTTTTTTATTGCATATTACCAGCGTGCAATGCTCTATATTCATTAGATATCGAGCATGGGTGCAAACTTACGCGATTGAAACGTTTGGCCTGGAAAATGTGTCCATTGACGCGATATAATTTTCGCCAGCGGCGGGCGCCTCTTCTGTAGATGCTGCCTATATAAGACGGAAATGGAGATCATAATTAGAAAAGCAAACAATAAATCGGATTGCATTCACATCTGGTTAGCTACTTACGATCTTCGCCATCGCAGGACAAGCCGGGCGCTTGAGGAACATTCGGAAATACTGCAAAGATACAAATTATGGAAAATGTTAATTGTTAACTGTTAGTTTCTATACAAATATAAATCTTCAATAATTGTTGCCAAATTGTTCACTTTCAATTATTTGTCATGCTTACGGCCATTTGCTTTGCCCATGCTCGAGTTTGGCCTTATCAATTTAATTGACTGCCGGCTAAAGCCCAGCAAATTGAATTAATCTTTTTATTATAAATTTACTCTACATATACATATATTTTTATTGTATCTATCTACTTTTTGCTTTACTTATAAACGGATTTTTGCCCAGCCACATTTGCCCAGTGAATTGTGTGTCTGATGTGAGTTGTTAACATGACAGAACCAACTCCATGACTGAGGCGCACAAACAGTAAGCGCTCGACTCTTATCTCCCGGAGTCGACGGCCACGCACCATGTATAAAATACAAAATACAAAATACAAAAAAAAAGTCAACTACAACCGGCGAGAGCGCTGCGCTCTTTGAGTAGTTTTTCCAAGTAATTGCCTCAGTTAATTAAGTTTTCCGTACAGGCAAAGAGACAACAGAAGCAACAAACACAACGATTCCCTCAGTGTCTCAGTGCTTCAATTGAGCTCAATTGTTCGCAGCACCAAAGAGTTGATGTTGATGATGACGATGACGATGATGATGATGTTCTCTACAGCTACATCGATCGTATTCAATTGGTTCTTTCATCATTTGACTGGCCACAAGGCCACAAAATTGTAACAATCCGTATGGAGTAGAGTCCATGCCTTGCATTGACCTAGAATTCTCAGTTTCTAATGCCATATCAGCTATCTATCGACTGCCTACATTACGTACGAGCGTACATATCTGGTAGGCGTTTATCTGCTACAGATACATATAACTGTTGTTGTTG